TACCATGGCCGGCTAATTTTTGTACTTTATTAGTAGAGATGGGGTTTCACCATATTGGCCAGGCCGGTCACCAGCTCCTGACCTCGTGATATACCCGCCTCGGACTCCTAAAGTGCTGGGATTACAGGAGTGAGCCACTGTGTCCAGCCTAAAATAAACTATTTTAAAGTGGACAATTCAGTGACATTTAGAATATTCACAGTGTTGCATAATACTCATCTCTGTCTAGTTCAAGAAAAATTTTATCAGCCAAGCGCGGTGGCTCAAGCCTGTAATCCCAGCACTTTGGGAGGCCGAGGTGGGCGGATTACGAGGTCGAGATAGAGACAATCCTGGCCAACATGGTGAAAACCCATCTCTGCTTTAAAAATACAAAAATTAGCTGGGCATGGTGGCATGTGCCTATAGTCCCAGCTACTTGGGAGGCTGAGGGAAGAGAATCGCTTGAACCCGGGAGGCAGAGGTTGCAGTGAGCCGTTATTGAGGCTGCTGCACTCCAGCCTGGGCCACAGAGTGAAACTCTGTCTCAAAGGAAAAAAAAAAAAAAAAGAAAAGAACGTAATAATGATTTCAGTTTGGATTTATAAATGTGTTAAAATAAATATAAAGACAAATATTTTTTTTTTTTTTTTTTTTGAGACGGAGTTTCGCTCTTGTTACCCAGGCTGGAGTGCAATGGCGCGATCTCGGCTCACCGCAACCTCCGCCTCCTGGGTTCAGGCAATTCTCCTGCCTCAGCCTCCTGAGTAGCTGGGATTACAGGCACACGCCACCATGCCTGGCTAATTTTTTGTGTTTTTAGTAGAGACAGGGTTTCACCATGTTGGCCAGGATGGTCTCGATCTCTTAACCTCGTGATCCACCCGCCCTGGCCTCCCAAAGTGCTGGGATTACAGCTTGAGCCACCGCGCCCGGCCTATAATTTTTAATTTTTAAGGGAGAAAGGGGTCAGTCCATTGAGGCAACTGTGCTTAGGGCTCACGAAAACCTCCAAGCTCTGCCACCACCATCTACTGCAAAATTCCTTTGAAAACAAGAGTTGGGGCGCGGCGAGGGGGCGGGGGGGTGGGGCAAAAAAAAGAAAAAGGAGACCGTTCTTAAATTGTAGGCTAATCCTGCCCCCTAGCGGCCACAGAGAAATCTCAGAGATTTATGCCCCCTAGTTGAGTATTTGCACCTATCAGGTGCCTTGAACTTAGGCTGCATTATTTCATCCTCACAGTTCCATGAGGTAAGTAATATCCAGATGTATAGATAAACTGCCAAAGATCCGAATGCTTAAGACAATTTTTTTTTTGAGACAGGGTCTTACGGAAGTGAACGCTGTTTCCTACTGAAGGAGGCACAGCTGGTGGAAGCCTTGGTGGGCAGGAAGCTTGCTTTAAAGTTTGAGACTCAGGCCCAGTGCTGTGGTTCACGCTTGTAATCCCAGCATTTTGGGAGGCCAAGGTGAGCAGATCACTTGAGGTCAGCAGTTCGAGACCAGTCTGGCTAACATGATGAAAACCTGTCTCTACTAAAAATTTAAAAATTAGCCGGGCGCGGTGGCTCACACCTATAATAATCCCAGCAGTTTGGGAGGCCGAGGCGGGTGGATCACGAGGTCAAGAGATCGAGACCATCCTGGTCAACATGGTGAAACCTTGTCTCTACTAAAAAAAGCTGGGCATGGTGGCACGCGCCTGTAGTCCTAGCTACTTGGGAGGCTGAGGAAGGAGAATTGCTTGAACTCAGGAGGCGGAGGTTGCGGTGAGCCGAGATTGTGCCATTGCACTCCAGTCTGGGTAACAAGAGCGAAATTCCAACTCAAAAAAAAAAAAAAAATTTAAAATTAGGTGTTTGGCACGCCTATAGTCGTAGCTACTGGGGAGGTTGAGGTAGGAGAATAGCTTGAACTCGGGAGGCAGAGGCGGCAGTGAACTGAGATCACATCACTGTACTCCAACCTGGGTAACAGAGTGAGGCTCTGTCTCAAAAAATAAAAAACAAAGTTGGAGACTTTTATTCTAAAGGCATTCAGTGAGTCATTTATTTCTTTCTTTTCCTGTAAGCTTGCAAAAATAGGCTCTTTCCCACTTATCTATGTGGCAGTAATGAGCAAATCATCCTTCTCAGGCAAATACATGATTTGCAAACATTTTCTCTCATTCTGCGGGTTGTCTCTTCACGCTCTTTTTTTTTTTTTTTTTTTTTTTTTTGAGACAAAGTTTTGCTCTTGTTGCCCAGGCTGGAGTGCAGTGGCACAATTACGGCTCACCACAACCTCCGCCTCCCAGGTTCAAGTGATTCTCCTGCCTCAGCCTCCCACATAGCTGGGATTACAGCATGCGCCACTATGCCCGGCTAATTTTGTACTTTTAGTAGCGACGGGGTTTCTCCATGTTGGTCAGGCTGGTCTAGAACTCCTGATCTCAAGTGATCCGCCTGCCTCGGCCTCCCAAAGTGTTGGGATTACACGTATGAGCCACCGCACCTGGCATCTTTTCACTGTCTTGATAGTGTTCTATGTCAAAAAGTCTTAATTTTAGGCTGGGTGCAGTGGCTCAAGCCTGTAATTCCAGCACTTTGGGAGGCCGAGGCGGGTGGATCACAAGGTCAAGAGATCGAGACCATCCTGGTCAACATGGTGAAACCCCGTCTCTACTAAAAGTGCAAAAAATTAGCTGGGCATGGTGGCACGTGCCTGTAATCCCAGCTACTCAGGAGGCTGAGGCAGGAGAATTGCCTGAACCCAGGAGGCGGAGGTTGCGGTGAGCCGAGATCGCGCCATTGCACTCCAGCCTGGGTAACAAGGGCGAAACTCCGTCTCAAAAAACAAAAAAAAAACAAACAAACAAAAAAAAGTTTTAATTTTGAAGTTTATCTTTTTGTTGTTTTTGTTATTGTTGGCTGTGCTTTTCACATCATATCCAAGAAATCACTGCCAAATCCAATGTCATGAAGATTTCCCCTATGTTTTTTTCTAAGAGTGTTATAGTTTTAACTCTTCAGTTTAGGTCTCTGATCCATTTTGAATGAATTTTTGTATATGGTGTAAGATAAGGGTCCACTTTATGTTTTACGTGTGGATATTCAGTTTTCCCAATGTACTTCATTTTGAAATAATTTCCCATTTCCTGCTGGGTTACTACTTTCAATGGGATAGTAAAATCAATTAAACCAAAAAAAATTTTTTTTGAGATGGTTTCACCCACTGCTCAGGCTGGAGTGCAGTGGCACGATCTTGGCTCACCGCAACCTCAGCCTCCCTGGTTCAAGTGATTCTCCTGCCTCAGCCTCCCAAGTAGCTGGGATTATAGGCATGCGCCACTACATCCAGCTAATTTTTTTTATTTTTAATAGAGATGGGGTTTCTCCATGGTGGTCAGGGTGGTCTCAAACTCTTGACCTCAGGTGATCCGCCTGCTTCAGCCACCTAAAGTGCTGGGATTACAAGTGTGAGCCACCGTGCCCAGCTTTGTGTGTGTGTGTGTGTGTGTGTGTGTGAGAGAGAGAGAGAGAGAGAGAGATGAAGTCTCACTCTATCTGTTATCCAGGCTGGAGTGCAATGTCACGATCACAGCTCACTGCAACCTCCACCTCCTGGGTTCAGGCGATTCTTGTGCCTCATCCTTTGGAGTAGCTGGGATTACAGGCACGTGCCACCATGCCCAGCTAATTTTTGTATTTTTAGTAGAGATGGGGTTTCACCATGTTGGCCAGGCTTGTCTCAAACTCCTGACCTCAGGTGATCTGCCTGCCTTGGCCTTCCAAAGTGCTGGGATTACAGGTGTGAGCCATTGCACCTGGCCTTTTTTTTTTTTTTTCCAATAGAAATGGATTCTCACTACGTTGTCCAGGTTGGTCTCAAACTCCTTGGCCCAAGCTATCCTCCCAACTCAGCCTCCCGAAGACTGGAGATTACAGGTGTGAGCTACTGCGCTGGCCAACCAATTGTAAACTTTTTTTTTTTTTTTCAGACTTTTGTAAACAAAGGGAGGTATCTTCCCCCAATACCAAACCTGGTGCCTTTTAAGCTCTCTGTAGGAGCTGAGTATGCCCTAATTGAACTTAAGCAAACTACACAGAAATAACTGCAGGCAGAGTATCACTCCTCTTGTGTCAAATGCCGGGTGAAGGCAATTGTGATTATCAGCTTAGCAGAAGGCTGCATTCCTTCAGTTTTCAAACCCAAATTCTGCCAGATTCTAGGCAAAGGGCTTAAAAGAAAAAATGTTTAGAACATGGTTTTTGGAGTCAGAGACGTATGTTCAAAGTCTGGCTTCACTATTTTATAGCCTTTCAGCATGTGACCTTTATGTACCCTTGAAGATGTTGCTTTAATCTTCCTGAGCCTCAGGTACCTCATTTTAAAAACGGGGATAATGCCTCAGGCCTAGCTGCTGCCAGTCTCTAGTCAGTGCTCAGTAAAAAGTAGCAGATACGATCGAAAATTGGTTTTCCTCTTACAACTGAAGTAGAAACCTTTTCAAGAGCAAGCAGCAGGCACCGAATTTGACGACTGGTTGCATTTCTAGGTGATCCCAGACTGTTTGCCTCCGGTCTCCCTGGCAGCACAGTGGTAGGAGGTAAGAATGATATGACACCATGCATGCAAAGTGCTCACGACACACTCTGGCGCTTAGAAAAAGGAGACCTGAGTCATGGATGTCCATTTTCCCCATCTGTAAAATGAGCAAGTTCGATCACTTACAACGACATTCTTGGACCTTGGGTGACTCAGATTTTCCAGGCATATGCGGAAAGGCACGCCAGAGGGAAGGAGGAGGAGTGGTAGTGTTGCGGACAAGCCCAGGTTTAGCGAAACCGACAGCTCCACCGCCCGCACTGGTTCCTCCGGCTCTGGAGGTGCCAGGCTGGTGGGGTGGGGCATAGCCACGCGGCGGAGTGACTCCGCGCCCAGCCCTCGGCTTTCTTCATTGGCTCGGTGAACTCGAGATTCGTGACGCCATAGGCGTGCGCCCGGCGCGCGAAGGGGGCGTGGCTCGCTGAGAAGGAGGAGACAAGATGGCGACGTCCGTGGGGCACTGCTGCTTGCGATTGCTGCACAGGGTCGCGCCGTGGCGGAGCAGGTATAGCAGCGCGGGGAGACTGCCCTGGGGTGTGGGGCAACCTGGGCCAAGCCGGGGCCTGGAGACAGGTGTTTCTCTGTTTCAGGCTCGCTCTGAGGCGAGCTCGGGTAGAGACGGAGCCCCACCTTCACCTCGAGCTTAAGAGCAGGTGCGACTGCTGCTGCGTGAGGCGGTCTGGATCTAGTTAGGGTGTGGTGTAGAAGCTCTCGCTTTGCCCTGTCCAGCTAGGTGGAAGTTCACGAGTGACAAAAACCAGATGAAATAGGCTACCTGTCCGTCACTTGAGTTGAGGCAGGCTTTCAGATGTTGAGATGCCATTTTCTCATGTGTTCGTTTTCGTAGAAGCAGCAACGTCCTGTGGGAGGGGCACTAGATTGAGAGTCAGGCAACCTTCATTTCTGGATCTTAGTCTTTGAAGCGAGAGGATTAGATTAGATAATCTCAAAACAGCCCGTTACGTGGCCAGAGTCTTGGTTACCCTTGTGTCTCCCTAGCTGTTAGGTTCTTAGAAATGTAAGAGACTTGAGGGGTCTTCTAAGTCCAGCTCTTTCTCTTTGGAATTAACGAGATTGAGGCTCCGAGAGAGAGAGGGATTTGCTCAAGTTCACGCAGCCAGTTTGTAGCAGAGAATGACCCCCATCAAGGTACCTGTCTCTCATGCGACGATCTTTCTCTCAGGCTGCCCACGCTGAGGGCAGTTATTATACAGAAAATAACTTAGAGCATCTGGACTGCCGAAAAGTGGATTAAAATGTTGTTAGCTGTGACTCAGAGTTGGCTGCCTGGTGTCATTTCAGAGAGCTAAGATTTGAGAGATGCGCCATACTTGTGTGTTTCCTAAAGGGTTTATTTTATCAGCGTTGATCAGAACATGGCTTTTGGAGTCAGAGACGTATGTTCGAATTCTGGCTTCACTATTTTATAGCCTTATATTGTAGTTTTGGGGCGTGGCAAGAATCCAAAGTCAGGAAGCAAAGGAGAATTCACAAAAAGACTGAGAAGAAACCAGAGAAATGGGAGGAAAAATCACGGTTCCAAAAGCCCAGTAAAGAATGTTTCAAGATCGTGCCATTGCACTCCAGCCTGGGTAACAAGAGCGAAACTCCGTCTTAAAAAAAAAAAAAAAAGAATGTTTCAAGGAGGGAAGGATCACCTGTGTCATGCTGCTGAAGTATCAAGTAAGATGAGACCTCAGATGTGTGTGTGTGCATTGGTGTTGGCAACATGGAGGTCGTTGGTGACCTTGATGAAGTGGTGTGATAGGTACAAAAGCCTTGTTGAGTGGAACTAAGAGAGGCTAAGAGGTGAGGAAGTGGTGACAGTGAAATAGAGAGCTCTTTTTAGGCTTGGAATGAAGGTGAGCAGAAAAGTAGAGTGGAACTGAAGAATGATAATGTGGTAGACAGTGTTGGTGTAAGACTGAAGAAATGACAGCGTTCATATGAAAATAGGGACAATCCAGTCATAAGGGACAAGCTGATAAAATGAAACATTTCCCAGTATTTGATTCAGGAGCTGGGGCTTCAGCAGTGGACAAAAAGCCAAGCTCTTTGTTCTTGGGCAGGGTTCCTGAGGGGAAGATGGATATGCAAAACAAACCACCTGAGTGCCCTGCATCCGGTTACAGTGGATACATAAATGATTATCTCCCATTCCTATTTCCTCCTGTCAGACAAGGCCTTGTTAACCAATCTGCAAACGTTCTTTCAGTGAGGGGTTTTTCAGTCTGGAACACACACAATGTGACAATGTACAGAACACAACAGTTTATCCTTTAGTCAGTTCTTGCACTTCCTGTTCAAATTCTGTTTAGAAAGCAGAGTTTTAGGCTTGCTCTGCTAGTGGGAGTATTCATTCTAAGAAATGAGCATTGTTCAGAACTGAAAGAACTTTCATATACTGAAATACTCCCGTCATTGTGTTAATAGCTGTACATCTGTCTGGCCTTGGGGGTGGTGCTCATCATGGTAAGATGCTTTTTCTCTTGACAAACTTTGTTTGCCTATAGGAGGATCAGATTCATCATGTTAGCTACAATAGTGCCATGCTGTGAGGGGGTGTGTGTGTGTGTGTGTGTGTGTGTGTGTGTTTTAAGGCAGGGTTCCACTCTGTTGTCCAGGCTGGAGTGCAGTGTTGTGATGTTGGCTCACTGCAACCTCTGACTCCTGGGTTCAGGCAATCTTCCCACTTCAGCTTTTTGGTTAGCTAGGACTACAGGTGCACACCACCACGCCTGGCTAATTTTTGTATTTTTTGTATAGATGGGGTTTCACCATGTTGCCCAGGCTGGTCCCGAACTCTGGGGCTCAAGCAATCTGCCTACCTCAGCCTCCCGCAGTGCCATGATTATGGTCGTAATTATAGTTGTTTCAGGCTTACAGAACATTATGAAAATAGTACAGGTATTGATCGACTTACGACCTATGCAACTTACGACCATTCGACTTTACGATCAAAATTGCTAGCCACGACTGCTCCGCCTCTGGCAGCGCAAACGTTGCCCAGCTGGGCATATGACAGTGCGGACCAGCTTCTGGCAGCACTACCATCTCCGCGTGCACCATTTCAACTGTACATATAGCTACTCAACTTACGACCAAATCGTGTTACGACTTTTCCGCGGTCTCAACCACGGTCATAAGTCGAGCACTGCCTGTACATAGAATTCCCAAATACCTTTTACCCAGATTCCACGAATGTCAGCCCTATTTGTTTTATCCTTCTCCATCTCTGTTTGTATGTATATGTGTGTGTACACGCATACTTTTTTTTCTGAGACACTTGAGAGCAATTTGCTGACTTGTTGACCTTTTGCTTTTAAATATTTCAACCCTTTTCTAGGCCAAGTGAGGTGGCTGAGGTTGGTGGATCACATGAGATCAGGAGTTTGAGACCAGCCTGGCCAAAATGGTGAAACCCCGTCTCTAATAAAAATAAAAAAATTAGCTGGGCATGGTGGTGGATACCTGTAATTCCAGCTTCTTGGGAAGCTGAGGCAGGAGAATTGCTTGGGAGGTGGAGGTTGCAGTAAGCCGATATTGTGCCACTGCACTCCAGCATGGGCAAGAGGGTGAGACTCTTTCTCTAAATAAATAAATAAAAATAAAAATAATGTAATCTCAGCACTTTGGGAGGCCGAGGTGGGTGGATCACAAGATCAGGCAATCAAGACCATCCTGGCCAACATGGTGAAACCCCATCTCTGCTAAAAATACAAAAATTAGCTAAGCATAGTGTTGCACTCCTGTAATCCCAGCTACTTGGGAGACTGAGGCAGGAGAATCACTGGAACCCAGGAGACAGAGTTTGCAGTGAGCCAAGATCGCGCCAGTACATTCCAGCTTGGTGACATTATTTTATTTTTTTTAAAAATTTCAGTTTTTCTCCTACAAGGACATTTTCTTACATGCAGTACCATTGTCAAAACCAAGAAATTTACATTAACACAGTCTTGTTATTGAGTATTTAAATTTTGCCAACTAATCCAGTAATTTAAGAATAATATTTAATGATTCATTTTTGCTTGGTTATAGCCTCCATCACTGTGAGAACACTGCCTTGAGCCACTCCCTACAGCCCTCACAGAAGCTGCCTTTTAGAGCGTTTCGCACAGGTAAGGAGCAGTTAGAGGTGGTGCGGGCCCTCTCTGTGCCTCAGTTTGGTCATCTGTAAATTGGGATAAACATAGGTTTGTTGTTAGAATTAAATGAATTAGTATGAAAAGTACCTGGCGTGCAGTTATCACTGAAGCATTAGTTTTTCTTTTCTTTTTATTTTGAGACAGAGTCTTGCTCTCTCACCCAGGCTGGAATGCAATGGTGCAATCTTGGTTTACTGAACCTCCACCTCTTGGGTTCAAGCAATTCCCATTCCCCAAGTAGCTGGGACACAGATGTGCATCACCATACCCAGCTAATTTTTATTATTAATTTTGTTTTTGTTTTTTATATTTCAAAGACTGCATGTATACTAGCTGATTTTTGTATTTTTAGTAGAGATGGGGTTTTGCTATGTTGCCCAGGCTGGTCTCAAACTGCTGGCCTCAAGTGATCTGCCCACCTTGGCCTCCCAAAGTGCTGGGATTATAGGCATGAGCCACCACACCCACCTCATTATGTTTTTTTGATTATAGCCATTCCGATGGGTGTGAGGGGGTCTCGTTGTGGTTTCGATTTGCATTTCCCTGATCACTAATAATGTTTTATTAGTTTGCTAGGGCTGCTGTAAGAAAGGAACACAAACTGAGTTGCTTGAACAGCGGACTTTTGTCTCATGATTCTAGAGGCTAAATGTCTGACATTAAGGAGTCAGAAGGGTTGCTTCCTTTGGAGGGCTGTGAGGGAGAACCTGTTCCATGCCTCTTGCCCAGCTTCCAGTGGTTTGCTGCCAATCTCTGGCATTCCTTAGATATAGGAGCATCACTCCAGTCTCTGCCTTCCACTTCACATGGTATCCTCCCTGTGTACATGTCTGTTTCTAGATTTTCTCTTTTTGTTTTTTAAAATTTTTATTATTTTTTTCCAAGACAGAGTCTTGCTCTATTGCCCAGGCTGGAGTGCATGATCTTGGCTCACTACAACGTCCACTTCCCAGGTTCAAGTGATTCTTCTGCCTCAGCCTCCCAAGTAGCTGGGACTACAGGCGCATGCCACGACGCCCGGCTAGTTTTTGTATTTTTAGTAGAGTCAGCATTTCACCATATTGGCCAGGCTGGTCACGAACTCCTGACCTTGTGATCCGCCCCCCCTCGGCCTCCCAAAGTGCTGGGATTACAGGTGTGAGCCACTGTGCCTGGCTGATTTTCCCTTTTTACAAGGATATCCATCATACTGGATTTGGATCCACCTTGGCAACCTCATTTTAACTTGATAACCTCTGTAAAGAACCTCTTTCTAACCAAGTAAAAGCACATTCTAAGGTACTCAGGGTTAGAACTTCAACATAAGAATTTTGGGGAGTTTTCAGCAATTCAATGCATAACGGATATTTAACTCTGTTTTTTCTTGTGCTTATTGGCCAATGTATGTTTTCTTTGGACAAAGGTCTATTCAAATTCTTTGCAAATTTTGATTGATTGATTGAGTCTCATTCTGTTGCTCAGGCTGGAGTCTAGTGGCATAATCATAGTTCACTGTAACCTTGAACTCTTGCGTTCAAGCCATCCTCCCATCTCAGTCTCCCTAGTAGCTGGGACTATAGGTGCAAGCCACTGTCCCTGGCTATTTGTCTTTTTATTGTTGACCTGTAAGAATTTATGAGATTTTTGCATTTGAGAGAGAATACCAGTGACCCATCAAAATTGGGCCTGCATTATAAAAGCAAGATCAAAGAGCCCTGGGTGAGAAATGGTGTTTGACTTCAAGTTCTAGACCTGTTTGTGCACCTTGGCAGTCTTGATTAGTTTCTTAACCTCTTTGTGATTCAGTGTTTTCATCATATTAATACATTTTGTGACTGCAGTGGCAATAGAAGTACATTGTACTTCTATAGGAAAGATGCCTGTCCTGTACTTACTGACAGTATTTGGAGACAGGAGGGTCTCAGTAGTGACCCAAGGTTATGTCTGCCTGCTAGATATCTTAGACCCAGTCACCTCTGCTGAGGGCTTCTGAGGTACGCTGACTTTTCCTGACCTTCCTGTTGGTGTGTTTGCATGACTCTTCCCTATTCTTGTCTCCCAGGGTCAAAATTGTCATGTTTTTTGTTACAGATGCCAGAAAAATCCACACTGCCCCTGCCCGAAGCACGTTCCTGCTGCGCCCCCTGCCCATTCTGTTGGCGACAGGCGGTGGATATGCAGGGTACCGGCAGTATGAGAAGTACAGGGAGCGAGAGCTGGAGAAGCTGGGATTGGAGATTCCACCCAAACTCGCTGGTCACTGGGAGGTAGGAATGAGGCAGAACTGCCTTGGGTTCTCATCCAGCAGACTGTCACTTTTCCAGTTGTTCCAAAGTTGAAATGTTTCAACAAGTCAGATGCATTTTCTTGGAGCTCATGTCTCCAGTAGCTTTTGGCCAGATATAAGAGTTACACCTTTGATGTCATGTCAAGCTTATATTCTGTCCCCAGACCTAACCTTGGTCTTCCCAAGGGTTCAGAGTAGAAATTCCTTGTTGTTGAAGTCGCAGAGCGTATGTTTGAGTTGGTGCTGACATCCTGGCTATTCTGATATTCTTGCCCTTGTTAGTCTGAAGAAGGTTGAAACTATTGAGCTTTTGTGATGTGGATTAGTTCTCACCAGGAACCAGACAGAAATAATCAAATTCCTTTGTCATTATTGCTCATAATCCTTCCTCCCATCATAGTCACAAGATAGGGGCAGGCTGCATTGCCGTCGAATGCATGATATATAACAAAACATCTTGTTCATCTGTGCTTCCCGGTCCCAGAGTGATGCCTGACTCAGAAGAGACATTCAGTAAAAGAGACATTTAGAAAAAAGAGGACGGGCGTGGTGGCTCAAGCCTGTAATCCCAGCACTTTGAGAGGCCGAGGCAGGTGGATCACAAGGTCAAGAGATCAAGACCATCCTGGTCAACATGGTGACACCCCGTCTCTACTAAAAATACAAAACATTAGCTGGGCATGGTGGTGCGTGCCTTTAATCCCAGCTACTCAGGAGGTTGAGGCAGGAGAATTGCCTGAACCCAGGAGGCAGAGGTTGCAGTGAGCCAAGATCGCACCATTGCACTCCAGCCTGGGTAACAAGAGTGAAACTCCATCTAAAAAAAAAAAAGATATAAGTTTAACAGTTGCCTTTTTTGTAGCCATAATTTAACAAATAAAAAATCTAAATATCTGAGGACCAATAATAGGCCTCAATACCCTGGGCAAAAGATGTGGTGACAGTTGAAGCTTTGTGATATCTGGAATGCAATGGTGATCCACTCCATATTGCTAATAGATCAGCTGAATCCATTCTAATAGGACCTATGGTGATTAGGGCATCAGGATGCTGAAGGCGAGTCCCAACCATGCTCTGCAGTAGCTGTGTAAACTGGAACATGTCACTTTCTTTCCGGTTCCGTGTCTTTAACAGTAAAATAGTAGGTTGGGTTGAAACATGACCATGAGATTCCATCCAACTCTAACACAGTTTATCTAGGAATATTTGCTGCCATTGGCATTACATGCTGCATTATAGGTTTCCTTCAAAAATCCTTTTTTGGACTTTGATTTTGATTGTTTTCTTCCTGTAGAATCCAGTATATGGACTTCATTTGATTTCTAACAGTCCCGTAAAACCATGACTTAGTCAACTGACCATACAGATCCAGCTGTGGCACTTGACCTAAGAGAGATCTGTCCGGCCCCACCCGTGTCCATGTGCCTACCCTTTGGCCTCTTTGTACACCTTGGGCTTTGTAATAACCTACCTTAAACAAAAAGAAGTTTTCTGGTACTATGTCAGAAAATCCTTTTGGTGAAGGGTAATTATGTAGTAGGTGAGTTACACTTTCACAGTATGCTGCACTCTGTTTCCCATGGCATTGCTGGTTTCCCCTGTAAATATCATTCTCCATTAGATTAGTAAAGTATTTGTAAGTGTAGGTAGCACATGACTATAACTGCATGAGCCCCCTCAAGTATTAAACCCAAGCTGACATCTTTCTGACCTTGGGCATTTGTGAGGCTGACTTACCCTATGACGAGTTGGCGTGCTTTTAAGAAATTCTCACACACTTCAAAGGTTTCCCAGAGAATATAAATTCAGAAGAAATTTGCCACTTCCAAAATCATAAAAGACCAATGCCAGTAGTTTTTTAGCATCTTGCTCTATTGCCCAGGCTGGTCTCAAACTTCTGGGCTCAAGTGATCCTCCTGCCTCAGCCTCCCAAAGTACTGGGATTACAGGTGTGAGCCACTGTGCCTGGCGACTCCTGGATTTTCAAGTAGGACTCCAGAATTTCATTTTATGAAGGGGGAATGGTCTGGATCTGGAGTTGACATTGTAGGTTGAGTATCCCTTATCTGAAATGCTTGGAACTGGAAGTGTCTCAGATTTTCTTTTTGGATTTTGCAACATTTGTATATACATACTGAGGTATCTTGGGGATGTGACCCAAGTCTAAACACAAATTTTATTTATTTATTTACTTCTGAGACTCCATCTCAAAAAATTATTTAAAAATCATAATTTTTATCAATTAAAAATTATTTATTTATCTTTTTTTTTTTTTTTGAGACAGAGTCTTGCTCTGTTGCCAGGTGCCAGACTGGAGTGCAGTGGCACAATCTCGGCTCACTGCAACCACCGCCTCCTGGGTTCAGGCAATTCTCCTGCCTCAGACTCCCAAGTAGCTGGGACCACAGGAACGCACAACCACGCCCAGCTGATTTTTGTATTTTTTAGTAGAGACTGGGTTTCACCATGGTCTTGATCTCTTGCCATCGTGATCCACCCGCCTCGGCCTCCCAAAGTGCTGGGATTACAGGCGTGGGCCACCATGCCTGGCCTATTTTATTTTTTTATAGTCTGTTGCTCAGGTTGGAGTGCAATGGTGTGATCTTGGCTCGCTGCAACCTCTGCCTCCCGGGTTCAAGTGATTCTCCCACTTCAGCCTCTCCAGTAGCTGGGATTACAGGCACCTGCCATCATACCTGGTTTATTTTCTTTTTTTTTTTTTGAGACGGAGTTTTGCTCTTGTTACCCAGGCTGGCGTGCAATGGCGCGATCTCGGCTCACCACAACCTCCGCCTCCTGGGTTCAGGCAATTCTCCTGCCTCAGCCTCCTGAGTAGCTGGGATTACAGGCACGCGCCACCATGCCCGGCTAATTTTTGTATTTTTAGTAGAGACAGGGTTTCACCATGTTGACCAGGATGGTCTCAATCTCTTGACCTCATGATCCACCCGCCTCAGCCTCCCAAAGTGCTGGGATTACAACCTGATTTATTTTTGTGTTTTTGTAGAGACATGTGATTCACCCACCTTCGTCTCCAAAAGTGCTGGGATTATAGGTATGAACCACCGTGTCTGGCCAATTTATTTATTTACTTGAGGCAGGGTCTTGCTGTGTCACCCAGGGCTAGAATACAGTGGGACAGTCATGGCTCACTGCATCCTTGACCTCCTAGGCTCAAGCGATCCTCCTACCTCAGCCTTCCTGAGTAGCTAGGAGTATAAGCATGTGCCACCATGCCTGGTTAATTTGTTTGAATGTTTGTGGAGATGGAGGTCTCATTTATGTTTTAGATATATCTTCTATACATAGCCTGAGGGTAACTTTATACAATAAATAATTTTTTGCATGAAACAAAGTTTTGACTGTGACTTGTCACATGACATCAGATGTAGAATTTTCCACTTGTTGGTGTCATGTCGGCACTCAAAAAGTTTCTGATTTTGGAGCATTTTCGATGTTCAGATTAGGGATACCCAACTGTCTTAAGTTTTCAGGAACTGGCAACAGGTCGAGCGGGAGAGTTTTGAATAGCTGTCTGGTGTTGGTTCCTAGTCTCACCTCTTGTTCCACCTAATCATTCCAAATGAAATACATGAGATTTTCCAAATCTAGCTATCATCAGAATTGTTGGGGAGCTTTAAAAATTATGAATTTGAATTCCTTAACTCCTGAAATCTAGAAAGTTTGGGCTAGGCTCAAGATCTGTGTTTTTCAGAAGCCCTGTTGGTGATTCTGATGATAAGCCAGCTTGAAGAACTATGGGCAGACAAACCCTTCCTAATGTTCCCTTCAGGGCTTCATTTTTTTTTTTTTTTTCCTTTTGTGAGACAGGGTCTTGCCCTGTCACCCAACCTGGAGTGCAGTGGTGCAATCTTGGCTCACTGCAACCTCTGCTTCCCTGGTTCAACCAATTCTCCTGCCTCAGCCTCCTGAGTAGCTGGGATTACAGGTGCGCACCACCATGCCAGCTAATTTTTGTATTTTTTAGTGGAGACAGGGTTTCACCATATTGGCCGGGCTGGTCTCGAACTCCTGACCTCAAGTGATCTGCCTGCCTTGGCCTCCTAAAGTGCTAGGATTATAGGCATGAGCCACTGTGCACAACTGCTAATTTTTCTATTTTTTGTTGAAATGGGATTTTGACATGTTGCCTGGGCTGGTTTTGAAGTCCTGAGCACAAGTGATTCACCCATCTTGGCCTCCCAAAGTGCTAGAATTACAGGCATGAGACACTGTACCCGGCCAGTTTTAGGTTGTTGTTTTTCAGAGACAGCGTCTTACTGTACTGCTCAGGTTGGAGAGTAGTGGTGTGATCATAGCTTGCTACAGCCTTGAACTCCTGGGCTCACATGTTTCTTTTACCTTAGCCTTCCCAGTAGTGAACTACAGGTGTGTGCCACTTCACCAGGCTGGTTTTATTCTTATATTTAAGTCTTTTATCCATTTTGAATTAATTTTTGTTTATAGTATAAGAGAAGAATTCAGTGTCATTCTTTTGCATGTGGATGTCCCATTTTCCTAGCACCGTTATGTTGAAAAGATTATCCTTTCCCTATTGAATGGTCTTGGAATGCTTGTGGAAATCAGTCTTACTCCCTGTTAAATGACAGAGATGATACAGCAAACGCTATGACAGAATGTTGGAAAACAGGACATCAAGATTCCCACGCCTTCTCACCATGTGACTGTGATTGCTTAATCATGAGCTTTATTTTTTATGCATTCGCTTCCTGTCTTTGTTTCTATTTTTAAATGAATTCAGCTGTTTTTTTCTTTTTCTTTTTTTTTTCTTTTTTTTGAGCCAGGGTCTGGCTTGTTGCCCAGGCTGAAGTGCAGTGGTGCAATCACAGCTCACTGTAACTTCAACATCCCGGGTTTAAGCAATCCTCCCACCTCTGCCCCCCAAGTAGCTGGGACCAGAGGCATGCACCACCAACACACCCAGCTAATTTTTTGTAGAGATGGGATCTCACTATGTTG